CTTCTTCTTCTTCTTCTTCTTCTTCTTCTTCTTCTTCTTCTTCTTCTTCTTCTTCTTCTTCTTCTTCTTCTTCTTCTTCTTCTTCTTCTTCTTCTTCCCTTAGACATGGCTAGGGACTGTGTGGGTCCATAAGGCACTGGCTATAAGCCATGTCCCCAGTGGTGCTTCCAGGACCTTAGGGGCTCATCTTGGTTACTCAAGCAGAAAACCTGCTGATGGGTTGCCAGGTATGGGTTGGGAACCTGGGGAGGGGCTGGGTTTGGGGAGGAGAGGGACCTCAGCAGGGTATAATGCCATAGAGCTCCTGGAAGAGATCAGGGCCCTGCGGGACCTCATGCAGTTCTATGGGACCTTATGCTGTTCCACAGGGCCTGCAAGACAGAGCTCTTCCACCAGGCCTTCAACTAGGAGCTGCTGCCCCAATAATTAATTGTGAGCCCCGCCCCTCGGAGTCATCAACAACAGCCTGAGCTGGCCACATAAGAAGAAACTAGGGTTGCCAAGTCCTTACTGACTGTATAGCGGGGGAGTCCAGGGCTGCTCCGGGAGGCGCGCGCCGCAATTACGTCACCCGGAAGTGACACAACCACGTCAGGCACGCCGGGGGCGGGGCAACAATCATCCGAGGGAAAACCATAGAGTTTTCCCTCGGATGACCGCGGCCCCGCCCCCAACACATCCGACGTGACTGCATCGCTTCTGGGTGACGTGCTGACGCCGGGCACGTTGCATGCTTTGGGGGTGGGGTTCCCCCCGGGGCCCGATCCGCCGCCGGCGGGTAATGGGCCTCTCCAGCAGGGTTTTCCCCGCCCCCTGGGGGGACTTGGCAAGCCTAGAAGAAACGGAACGAGGAGCAGATCAATAAGACATCAACTTGCTGCCACCATTGCCAAACATCGTCTCATTAATATTCCCAGACCAATTGTACTAGCACTTTACATCATCTGGACTGTTCTTAGAAGGTTTTATGATTGTTTTAATGGCTATTTATGTGTTTTAATTTCTTAAGCCGTCCTGAGCCTGCTTCAGCGGGGAGGGCAGGGTATAAATTTGATAAATAAATAATAAAATAGAGTCTACCCTCCCAAGCAGCCAGTTCCTCCAGGGGAACGGGTCTTAATTGTCTGGAGATCAACTGTCATAGTGGGAAATCTCCAGGTGCTCCCTGGAGATTGACAACTATACTGATGTGCCAAGCGGCATGTTTTGATGTGTTGCCATTTGATACACATCTAAGGATATGCATCAAATGGTGTTTGCTCACCCCTGGAATCTACCTATCCCTGGGCTAGCACTTTTTGGCAGTTTCCAGGTTCAGTATGTTCAAGATGGGAATGCTTTGATTTCACTAGAAAAAAATCCCTGTCTTTCCCTAAGGACTCTGCTGTGCTCCAAGCCAGTTCGGTGTCGTGGTTAAGTGCGCGGAGTCTAATCTGGGAGAACCGCGTTTGATTCCCCACTCCTCCACTTGCAGCTGCTGGATGACCTTGGGCAAGCCATAGTCCTGTCAGAGCTGTTCTTGAAAAAAGAGCAGTTTCTTTCAAGAGCTCTCTCAGCCCCACCTACTACCTCACAGGGTGTCTGTTGTGGGGAGGAGAAGGGAAAAGGCGTCTGTAAGCCGCTCTGAGACTCTGAGTGAAGGGCGGGGTAGAAATCCAATCTCTTCTTATTTTTCTTAATAATATATACACTTGGGTGCCAAAATATGGTTCCTGTGTGACATAAGGGCTGGTAGGCTTAAGGGTCTTGAGTAACAATGTTGGAGAGATCAGTTCATGAACATATGAAGCTGCTTTACACTGAGTCAAACGGAGTCAAACCACAGGTCCATCAAGGTCGGCATTGTGTAATCTAACCGGCAGCAGCTCTACAGGATTTCAAACAGAGGTGTTTCATGTGACCTACTACCTGATCCTTTTAACTGGAGGTGTCAGGGACCGAACCTGGGACCTTCTGCATGCCAAGCAGATGCTCTGCTACTGAGCCATGGTCTGCCAATTTATTGGATCAGTCTCTCGCAGAGCATCCTGTGCAGAGTTTTTGTTGTTGTTGTTGTTCAGTCGCACAGTTGAGTCCGACTCTTCGCGACCCCATGGACCAGCTCCCGCCAGGCCCTCCTGTCTTCCGCCGTCCTCTGAAGTTGGCTCAATTTCATGTTTGTTGCATCGATGACACTGTCTAACCATCTCATCCTTTGCCGTCCCCGTCTTCTTTGACCTTCAATCTTTCCCAGCATCAGGGTCTTCTCCAGGGAGTGCTCCCTTCTCATTTGGTGGCCAAAGTCTTTGAGCTTCAGTTTCATTATCTGGCCTTCCAGGGAACAGTCAGGGTTGATTTCTTTTAGGATTGACTGATTTGATCTTCTTGCAGTCCAAGGGACTCTCAAGAGTCTTCTCCTGCACCATAGTTCAAAAGAATCTATTCTGTGCAGAGTTACTCCACACTAAATCCACTGAAATTAATGGGCTTTGACTAGAGTAGCTCTGTATAGGATTGCATAGTCAGTTTCTTAATGCGTTAAAATATATCATTGCTGTTTGTCCATCTACCTAAAGCAGACTGAGAAAGCTGTCAGTCAAAAATAAATATTCTCTTACCTTTAACATAATAATTATTGATTGTAATAGATAAGAGCCACTTTGCTGTCAAATTACTGGCTATGTTTGCTGAGGTGCATCTGTTCAAAAGCTTGTTTGCTTTCCTTCATGTTACACTATTGTTCAGTTTGGGCTTGGTTATTAGTACAAATTGAGGAATAGATAGCATTAACAGATGGACAAAGCATGTAAAACAAACAGCAAAGATGATTCAATTATGTATCCTTTGCACATGAAATAAACTTTAAATATTTAAAAGTATTCCCATTCTAATGTTTAAAAATTGACAAAATATCCTGAAATCTATCTATGAAAGACTTTGGCGAAATTAAATTATATCACCTTCCAAGCTGTTAGCATGGAAACAATAATATTTTGACCTATGCAGAATCTTTGATATCATACATTTCTGTCAGCCCATTTAGCAAAGTAAACCAGGAAGCCAGTTCATATCCTTCCCATTCCATTAATCTTGTCTAGTTCCTTTTAAAACCCTCAGTTAAACATCCGGCTACTGTAGTGTCTTGCGGCAATGAATTCCACATATGTGACATAAGATTTTCTTCTGTTGATAATAAAGATGTTGAGGGGAAAAAAAGAAGTGTGATTTTCCTAGACAAGTATACTCCTTCTCTTGGATAGTTCGTATCAGATATTTTATTTCTTATTTTTTATTTATGTTACTTATAGTCCCTTTCTCACTGGGACTCAAGGCAGATTACACAGAGTGAGCCAATCCAATCAACAGGATGGGACGTTCAATAAACAATGAAATAGGATTCGGGTTTTGGAACCAGAAATCTAAAAAAACAGAACTGAAGCAAAGCATAAGTATTTAAGATGACACATTAAATGATGCAAAATTACACAGTAGAATCCAGCTTACAGCAAACTATACACAGTAGTATAGACCACAGTCCCTAATAATTTATCCAAGTAACTCTGTGAACCATTTTGTACAGTAGAACAAAGTTTGAGTCCAGTGGCACCTTTAAGACCAACATAGTTTTATTCAAGATATAAGCTTTTGTGTATATGCACACTTCTTCAGATATACTTCATTTCATACAGTGTTACCCTATTGCCTGTGTAGAAAAGCCCTCTAGAATAATTCAGTTTTGTGTAATTTGTGGAAAGCATGTTTCCAGCTCACACAGTCCCCCTTGTGTGCAAAGTTATTCCAGTTTTAACATTTTATTTATTTCATTACATTTCAAGCTCACCCTTCCCTGCACTGTGGGGCTCAGTGTGGGTCACAATAATAGACATATACAACAAATTTAAAACAATTAAAACATAATCTATACAATGTTAAAAACCTATAATATCAGATAATAAAAGATGGCAGTCAGACACAAGTTAACAAGTGTTTCTGAAGAACCTTCAGCATGTGTGCCCATAGACAGGGGTCGTTTCGTAGAAAAAGAGCTAGGGGAACTCATTAGCATAACCCATTAGCATATGCCACACCCCCTGACATCACCGGAAGTGTGTCATAAGGCCACACACCCCACCCCCAACGGTCCCAGCCGCCACCGCCGGCCTTGCAGCTCTACTGCCGAGCCCCATGAGGGGCCCGGCGGTGGACCTGCAAGGCTGGCGGGAGTGCAAGGAAGCCCCGCGAAGGCCCTCCCTGGCCCCAGGCAGGCAGGGGTGGGGAGAGGCAGGGAGGAAGCAACTTGCCCTCCCTCTTCTCCTGCCTCCTCCTGGCTGAATGAGGGCCGGAAGCGGGGCGGCCGGAAGCAGGGGGCGGGGCTTCGTCATGTGCCCCGCCCCCCGTACCTCACCCAGGGGAACTGCGATCCCCCGCGATCCCCCCGAAATGACCTCTGCCCATAGATGGAACAAAATACTGTGCAAGAGGCAGAAAGCAGCAACAATAACCCAAGACCTTGCAGCCGGAGACTTTCAAAGAGCTATACGTCGTCTCGAAGGTATCTGCGCCCCCGGGCCCAACGGTTTTACATCTGAGTACTACAAGATCTTTGCCCAAATTCTTTGTAAGCCACTTACCGATGCTTGCAATGAAGTGCTCGCTTCTGGTCACCTGCCGGACACCTGGAAGAAAGCGAATATAATATTAATACCAAAAAAGGGGAAAGACGCGACTGACCCTAAATCTTATCGGCCCATTTCTTTGCTCAACATTGATTATAAATTGTTTACCTCAATCATTGCCCTTAGACTCAAACACATAATAACATCTTACGTTGACATGGATCAAACTGGCTTCATGCCGGGAAGAGATATTTCTGACAATATTCGTAAAACGATTAATCTTATCCATTACGGAAAGCGACTGAAAAATCTTGATTCAATAATTTTGACAATTGATATTGAAAAGGCTTTTGACACCTTGGAATTTAACTATTTGGACATGTTACTACAACATATGCAGTTCGGCCCTACCTTTATGAGATCTATCCAAGCCATCTACGCACAACCTAAAGCCCAACTGTTGATAAATGGGTCCTCCTCGTCTGTTTTTGATCTTCTAAGAGGCACGAAGCAGGGCTGCCCCTTATCACCTATTCTCTTTGCCCTCTCGATGGAACCTTTGGCAAATGCAATTTGCCAGGACCCGAACATTCATGGCTTTGAGATCCGCGACAAAATTTTTAAAATCAGTCTTTTTGCGGATGACATCTTATTGTACTTGACTAAGCCTATTCAATCGCTTACAGAGCTTCACAAAATTTTACAAGACTTTGAGGCAGTTGCTGGACTTAAAATAAACAACTCTAAATCTATAATATACCCCATAAATTTAAGTTCTTGTGAGTTGAAACACTTGTTCAACTTTCAATGGGCCAAAACTGCTATTACATACCTAGGTGTCAAAATCCCACATAACCTGGCTCACTTATTCAAGGAAAATTTTGCGGAAATGCATAAAGATAACGTAATCCAGCTTAGAGCTTGGAATGCCAAAATCCTTTCGCTCTCCGATAGAATTACCATTGTGAGATCCTTTATACTACCGAAATATCTTTATTTTTTCCGAACTTTGCCCATCACAATTACTCCCCACCAATTGAAAAAATGG